GACAACCATCGAATATGCCATCCGATTCCAATTCCGGACTTCCAATAATGAAGCCGAATATGAAGCTCTGTTGGCAGGCCTTCGGCTCGCTAAAGAAATGGGCGCTCAGCAACTCGGGATCTGTAGCGACTCACAACTTGTCGTCAACCAGATACTGACTGAATTCGAAGCCAAGGATACTTCGATGGCTGCCTACTTGACACACGCTCGCCGATTGCTCCACCACTTCACTGCGTACCAAGTTCAACAGATCCCCAGATCCGAGAACACCCACGCCAATGCTCTATCACGCCTTGCATCGGCGATCGACGACAACATAGGGCGCCATGTGCCGATCGAGATCCTCGCTCGGTGCAGCACCACCAACGTCGAGATACATGCCGTTCGGCATGACCCAAGTTGGATGGATCCTATCCACACCTACCTAGCAAACGGCACGTTGCCTGACAACAAATCTGAAGCTAAGACTATCCGCCGCCGATCGGCACGATACCTCCTTCTGAATCAGATTCTCTATCGGCGTGGTCACTCCTTACCATTGCTGAATCAGATTCTCTATCGGCGTGGTCATTCCTTACCATTGCTTCGGTGCATGACCCCGCAGCAAGGAAACTACGTCCTACGAGAGATTCACGAGGGAGCCTGTGGGGACCATTCTGGCGCCCGATCGTTGGCTTTCAAAACCATTCGGCAAGGGTACTACTGGCCGACTCTTCATGTCGACGCCACTAAACTCGTCCAGAAGTGTGACCATTGTCAGCGCTTTGGTTCCATCCCAAAATTGCCTGCCGAGCCACTGACTCCGATTGTCAGCCCATGGCCCTTTGCCCAATGGGGTTTAGATCTCATCGGCCCTATGCCCCAGGGAAAGGGACAGGTCAAATTCGCCATCGTCGCTGTCGACTACTTTACGAAGTGGACCGAAGCCGAAGCATTGGCAACCATAACCGCAGCCAGGGTCGAGCATTTTGTATGGAAGAACATAATTTTTCGGTTGGGCCTTCCGAACGCAATAATCACCGACAACGGTAAACAATTCGACTCCTCTCAGTTTCGGCACCTCTGCCACCGATTCAACATCAACTTGTTCTTCGCATCCCTAGCGCATCCACAATCAAATGGCCAGGTAGAAGCCATCAACAAGATCATTAAGAAGACGTTGAAGAAAAAACTTGGGGCAGCAAAAGGAGCCTGGCCCGATTTACTTCCAGAAGCGTTATGGGCCATCAACACCTCCTACCGACGGTCGACAGGCGAAACACCGTTTTCCCTCGCTTTCGGTACCGAAGCTGTTGTCCCAGTCGAAATCAACGCACCCACATGCCGAACGGCATCTTACAATCCAAAGCAAAATGAGACACTGCTTGCACTCAACCTCGACCTCGTCGACGAACACCGTTCCCAGGCCCAGCTTCGGAACGCTGCCTACAAGCAACGGACCGCTCGCTATTACGACTCGCGCATCAAACGCCGATCGTTTAGAGTGGGGGACTGGGTTCTACGAAAAATCTCTCTCGCCACCAAGGACTCCAGCGACGGCACCCTTGGTCCATCCTGGGAAGGTCCTTATGAGATTGTCAGCGTCTGCCGACCAGGAACTTACCGACTGCGTGATCCCAATGGTCAAACCCTCGGCCATCCTTGGAATATCGAGCATCTCAAATACTACTACAAGTGATCACACCTTCGGTTATCCCTTACGGTCGACACTTTTGTATAAACGCTTACACCTTCGGTCATCATCTTTGTACTCGGTTTATTTTAATATTCCCTATTTTTTACATACGGCATTCCGATCGACAAACAATACTATATTCTCAAATTGCCACTTGCGGCATGCACACATACATCAGAATAAGAAATTTAAAATTCAACCGAATTCAAGTTAGCTTGGATAAAACGCCACTAAGGGCTATATCTTAGCAAAATTTGCCTTTCGGCATGTTCAAAATGTTATACAACTCCAAATTGAGGATTGAATTAACAAAGTCTAAGAGAAGGGTGGTTCGGCTTCGGTCGTTACAATATCGGCATCAGCTGACACAGGCACAGGACCAGTCGACGGCTCGGCAGGAGACACATTGGCAGCCCTCGGCCCGGGATGACCTTCTTCCTCCTCGCTGCTCGATTCGGTCTCGTCGGCTTCCACGGGCTCAGCATCCTCGCCCTTGTAAGCCTCCACCATCTCTTCAGTCACCCCTTCTGGCAACGGCGGCGGATCCCGGAGGAAGTTCAAGTTCAGCTTCTTGTCCGCATTGTACCGTTTGAATCGGTAGACAAAGTCGTCACATTGCTCCATGACTTCTTTGTCCACCAGCCGCGTGAACTCCTCCGACGCTCGGTAGTCGGCAACGGATTTCGCCTTCGCCTCTCCCAGCTCCTTGACATGCGACCGTTCGGCCGCATCCATGGCCACCTCCACCGCGGCCCTGGCCTCCTGAGCGGCCACCACCTCCAGCTCAGTCGCCGCTAGCTTCGCCGCAAGCTCGGCAATCTTAGCAGCATTCTCCTCGGCACGCCGATCCGCCTCCTGGAGCATCTTTCCGGCATCGGCTATCTTCGAACGGCCCTCCTCAAACCTCTTCTGGTACCGTTCGGCAGCATTCATGGCCCGCTTTGCGCATAGCCACATTTCCATTTCACCCTACAACACAAACCGAAACATTAGTACATGCCGAATCAAAATACACTTGAAATTCAAATCACTACGAACTTACTGCAGCCTGAAGCCGGAAGGCGCGTCCGGTCTGCTCACGCAGTGTCTTCATCGACAACTGCTCGATCTCTGACAGCTCCATCTGAGCGCCATCGATCATGCAATTGATGAACGGCACCGCCTTCCGAGAGCAAGCTATGTTGACCGGGCCCTCCTCTCCCTCTCCTTCATCATCGGGAATCAGCACCGATGTCCCTTCATTCGGCCCCTTTGGCCGCTTCGGCAACGGCGTTGCATCGAGGGCACCCTCGATCATCCGCTTGCTTGTCATTTGCTGATGGACCTCCCGAACGGCCTCAGCTTCGGCCACCTTCTTCTCCCGACGGCGATCGGCCATCGTCATCTCATCGGCCGAAGCCCCTTCCGATCCTGCCGTCTTCTTCTTCTTCGGCCTGGGGGACTGATTCTTCGTCTGCTTCGGTGCCCCCTGCCCCTCCAGCCGCCGCCTGGTAGCCTCACTCATCGGCCTCCCACCTGCCACTGCAACACACACGAAGTTAGTAAGGGAACGGTAGCTTTAGGAAGTAGACAAAGCAGACCATGCCGAACGGCATCACTTACTCTGCCTCTTTTCTTCTTCCTCTTCCTCCCTCACTCTTCGGTCGTGTTCGACCCTACCGATCAGACCAGCCTTGAACAAATTCTTGAAGTAGAGCAGCTCCTTAAAGAACCGATCTTCTTCGGCAATTTTCATCCTCACCCTCTAGATTGCTTCAACCTCT